GGCTTCTGAGCTCCATAACCTCTACCTCTTGCTAGTTTTGTTGTTATTTTAATACTGTAGGAATCCTTAGCAGCACACAGTGAAAATCTGTGGGATACTCTTTTAGCTTTTGGAATAACAAAAAAGGATCCTTTTGGATTGGGCACCCTCAAGAAGAAACAAGGTCATAGAGCCTCATCTTCTGATGTCCCTGTTGAAAGTGGAATGCCTCTTTCAGACTGAGTGCAAACCTGACGACTTGGAGGGTTTTTTTGGCTTTCATCCCAAATACCACCCTTTTTTAAGGACAGTCTTGTAGAGATGAACTATGACTTGATTAAAGTTAGTGTTGGAAGTATTGTAACCAAGAACTATAATAGAATATATTTAACATCATAGCTTTAAGGCAGATGTGTGCAGCTACCCAGATGCAAATAATAAAACCTTCAGATGTGGAAAACAAACTTTCCTAAGTACTTCTGCAATTCCCGATAATAACATCTCAATCTGAAGTTATTGTATGTTTTAATCTAGGTGGTTGCGTTTGCTTGCAATAACAAGCATTTCTTCCTGAACCTCAGTGCATATCCAGCTCTGTAAGGAAAGATTTTTGACTGTGGTAATTCATCTTGCCTTGATTAAAATTTGCACGTTGCTTCCTCTGAGGCTTTTCCTCTGTCCTCCTGCCCTCAGCCCACTCCACCTCCATGCATCCACCCCCGGGGTAAAACACGGCTCCAGCGCAGCAAGAGTGAAATAGTAGCACAACTTCTTTGCTTTGTGCTGTTTTCTTTGCAAGGGAGAAAAGGGGAGTCTTCCCACAAGGGAAGATTTTGTTTTCCTCTTTCTGTTGCCTATGATTCCCACCTGTTGTATATATGGTAAAAATATCTGGGACTTATAACCCAGCAACAGTACGCAGCTAGAGTCATGTGTGACCGGGTCAAACACACACTCGCTGGAGGGTCATGGCCAGGTTACTAAGTCAAGGCTGGCAAGTCTCCACGATAATGTTTTCTTTCTCTCTCACTCTTTCTTTTTTTTTTTTTTTCCTTCTCCTCTTGTCTGTCTTCCAAACAAGAGTTTAAAAAAACCCAAACCCTCATAACAATGCAAACTATTTAAGCATGACAAATTCAAAGAAGTTTTTTATTAAAAAAAAATTGGAGGGGGGAGTGAAGTCAATGATATTTTGGATTTAATTTTATAGTATAGTTTTATGTGGCACATGAAAGAAAGAAATTTGTATTGAAACAATTGAGACCCACTTTCCCAGTTCCTGGCTCTTTCCTGGAAGATGATTAAAAGCAGACTTTTTTTTCCAGACGAGACATAAAAATTAAATGATCTACAGTATATAGTTATTTTTTCAAATGTTTGGAGGCTTATAAATAACTTCTACAATCAAATGCACACATACAAGCAGCAGAGAATCTGGTTCTAATTACTTGTACTTTAGTTGAACTTTGGCGTTTCCTTTGACTTTCTGCCTAATGTATGTGAGCTGTGTGCCTTGCACTCCTGCAGTGAATTCACAAAAAAAAAAAAAAAAGGCAAAAAATCCAGACTCTTGTTGGTGCCAACAAAAATGGGGGTTAACAGAATGTTTTGACCAAATGCAACACTTTGCTATTCACCCTAATTAGCTGAAATTGCTGCTTCCCACCAGGGACCCTGAGCTCAGTATTCAAAATTCCCTTGAGGCTATCCAGGAAATGCCATTTGCTTTACAACTTCTTATTCTTTTAAAACTCGACTGTCCAAAGTGTGCATTAACATGCAAGCTTAATAATCTAAGTTCAGAACACGAGGCATTTCATAGTGCCTGCCTGCTTCTAGCTGGTCTCAAAGTAAAATACCTTCTCCATCTGTCAACACGGTTTAGCTGGCAGTAAATTAGCTCTCACAAAGCACGCTGTGCTTTTAAAGATCTTATCTGCTACTTTATCTAACCTTTAGAAATATTTCAGACATCTTAAGAATTGTGAAGTGACCAATTGTTTGAGAGTCCCTGTGTGCTTAAGCTGCATTCAGGTGTTGGGTGACAGCACTGAGGCTCTGTTTTCTCAGGTGAGTAGGGACCCTAAAGTGTCACATCCCACAGGACAAGACAGTAGGGCATGGAAAGAAGTTGCTTTTTTTTCTTTTCCTTTTTTATTTTTTTCCCCTGGAATTCCTCCTAAAATTGTAAGACTGCTTTAAAAATGCCTCTTCTGTAAATGTCAACTCTTGGCCCTCCATCCTTTCATTTTTTCTGCCTTGCATGTGCAGACATGCATAGAAGAAAGCCCTTCTGCTGTTGTGCATTCACTAGCTGCCAATATGTTCCAAAAATAACACTTTTTACCTGCTGAGCATGAATTGCTACAGATGCCTGCACTGGACTTTTGCACTTCCATACTGGCAGTATGTACATTTTCAAATAAAGAGTTTAAAAAAGCTAAATCTAAGGAAGAATAGTAAATCAGCTGGATTAAGAGCTGAGCATGTGTATCCTGGGTTCAAACCTTCTCCAGAAAACTGTAGGTCCTGCCTGTGATCAAAAGTGAATGTGCCCAAACTAGGTTCTGTTACCAAAAAAACCCACACCAAACCAACCAACCAAAAAAAAAAAACACCTGAAAAACTCCTCAACCCAACCCAAACCCCAGCCAGTCTCTCTAGATGGTTGTTTAGCTGATGCAAGTGTTATATTTAGTAGATTAAGTCCTTTTAGTGGTGCAAAGATATATATAGAGATATATAGAGAGAGATATATCTATCTATCTGTATATACATATAGGTGTTCTGTGGAGGATCTTTTGATTTCCATTGGCTCTTCAATTGCTGTATACTGTTTCAAATTGTCCTGAAAAATATTCTCTAGCTTTATCTTCAACTCCTCACTTGCTATGTTGTGTATTTATGAACTGAGTTGCTTAATCTCTTCTGGGTATCTATCGCAAGCTCCTGGTGTTTTGACAATGTTGACAGACCTCTCTGAAGTACGTATTGTTTGTGGTTTGAGCACTACTACTGGATACTGGTGCTTGTTTAGGATGAAATTATGAATAAAGCAGAAGTGAATCAGTATTATTCCTCAAAGATTGCTTTTCCCAAACTGAAATCACAAAAGGATTGCAGGAGTGCAGTTGTTTTATTGAATGATACAACCTTGTTTTCCCATGGGGAGCCTAAAAGCTGCCTTTTAGATGGACTGGGAGAGTTGAATGAGCTAATACGAAACACATTGTCTGCTGGTATTAGGGTTTTAAAGCTAAAATTTTACCATTCCATAGACTCATTGGAAACTACCATAATTCATGTACAAGTATGGAATAAGGCAAGGAATGTTTGACGCCTCTCAAGGGCATTTGATGAATCTAACTTTAATTTAGAAGTACTAATAGATTATCGATTCAAGCAGGGTGGCTGTGCAGAGATCAATAACAGAGCACTCCCTATCTCAAATACCAAAAATTACTGTTGAAAAGAAATGATCATTCTCATCTGAGTTTTTATTAAGAAAAAACTTCATTAAAGTTTTCTTGGTGCAGTAGGAACCTGTAGACTTTTGGTCTGCCAAGTTCAGTTTATTTAATACTGAAAAAGATGAGTATAGTTCTGGATGTTGTCTTAATGTCACAATTTATGGAGCCATGTTATTTTACTTTTCTGTTTTTTTTCACAGCCTCGTTATTGTTATATAAATAAATTGGTCCCAGTGGAAAGATATCCCTTGCTTAGAATCAGAACCTTTAATACTTCACTTTAGCATTTATTTTCTTCTCAAGAAATGTCTGTCCTTGAGGTTGATACTAGTTTAACCCAAGGAAAAATGGGGCCCTCCTCTCACAAGTAATCAGAGGTTGCATCGTGCTCTGTGATGCCCTCTGTGAATTCTGTAGCACAAGTTGACAATGAATCATGACTTTAATACAAATGTATCATCTTTGTAATCTGAAAAATATCATGTACAGTAAATCTTGTCTTAGATTTTTCCATTGAGTAATATTCTTTAGGGCCTGCTGTTAGTACTTTTGAGATTTAGCTCTGCTGATAGTGCCTAATATTTCTGGATAGATCTGAGTTCACAGATCCTGTCATTCCTGTATATCTGTTGAAAAGTTAAGAGGGATTTATCTGAGAAGCAGCAGAGGGCTAGGTGAAACATGAAAATGTATTGCACATCCAGAATAAATGTGAGGAATGATGACAGCATATCACAGAAAACTAATGCAGATGTTTTGGAAAGATGTAGTTCACATGTCTTATCTTGCATCGTAGAGTTTTCACATCCTTCCCCTGAAAGGGCTAACTGGCTTTTCAATAGGCTCAAACAAATGACCATCTAGAAATATTAAGGCAATAAAAGGATGTGGGGTCATGATATATAAGTTGGTTTTTCTCAGCGAGGTTTCATAACGTTACAGGTCCTAAGGTAGGTAAGGAAGTGTTACTGGGCTGTGCTACTTTTTTTACAGATTCAAAAAAAAAAAAATAAAATTACTTGTTCATGTAATTTTCACTTCAGGTCTCTCACTTACTCTTTACATATGTCCTGATACCTGCTGCTAACCTGCTGTGTCAGAATTGCAGATTGGAAGTGTTACCTTTTGTAGAAAAAGGCAAGAGATACAAGAGCTCTGCCAAGATTAGGTACTGATTAGAAGGGTACATGCCACAAACGGTCTCCCTTTGAAGGCTGATATCCAGCATGCACACATGGATCCTATGCTATTCAATAGGCTAAAAACAGCAGATGAACCCAAAGTCTTCCATTTTTGGAGCCTGGTAAGAGTTTGAAGCCCTATATCTAAATTATTGGGTACTTTAAAATATACTTTGAAGCTATGGGATGTAGTCCTGTTATTACTTGCCTTACTTAGTTCCCCTTACATGTTTCTAGGAAAAACAGATTAATCTTTATTATGCAAAGAAAGATATGGGCCAGTTTCATACTTGTAATGTAGTTTTATGTAATAATTTATTAAAACTTCATTAATAAATCATTCAATTTTTATATTTTTTTTCTTTTGTAGCAGTTGAAACTCAGAGCACCAGTTCTGAGGAACTTGTTCCGAGCCCTCCTTCACCACTTCCACCCCCTCGTGTTTACAAGCCCTGTTTTGTCTGTCAAGACAAGTCATCCGGATATCACTATGGTGTCAGTGCTTGTGAGGGATGTAAGGTGAGTGCCATCATCTCCCTTTCCTTTAATAAGACTTCATTTCATCTTAGAAAGGGACAAAGCAATGCAGTGTGGTATGACTTGATTGTCTCCAAAGACAGCTGTACAGTTTCTTGTGGGAATTAATTCTTATTCATAAGTAAAGCCAAGTGAATTACCATCATTCCTGGAAATATTTCCCTTCATAACTTCCTCCAAATTATGTCTTTCAGGGACTTCCTTAAGTGTTGACTAGCATGAGAATGTGATCATAGATGTAGACATAATCAAAGAATAAACTGAAAACCCTTTGAGACTCTTCACTCTCCATCTGTAGGTCAGGTATTCCCCGAGATCTCACACAACCTTTGGCTACCCTCAGCCTTTTTCCGTTTGCTGCTACCTCTCTGTATCCAGGGGGTGGAATTTGGGAAGAGGATCTGATCATCTGGAATTTTTTGGCGTAGTCTCTAATGTCTAACTAATCTCAAATCAAATTGGGAATTTAAGGATTAGGAGGCTGGTATTTGCAAAATTTAATCTGTCAGCCTACATTGCTGGCACCTCTGCTAGCTGCTTCCCAGCACTGTGGTTGTCAGAGCATGGACTGACTGTCCATAGGATGTGGTAGTAGCATACACAGTTTGAAAGTAGACAATGTCTAGGCAGGAGATACCCACCAGAGAAGCTATGTCAGCTAAACCATGTCTGTATGGCAATAGTTAGAGGTGTGCACACAGTGAACAGTATGCATGTGAGGAAGAAGGTAGTGTGAAAAATGCCAAAGAAAAGACATCAAAGGGCAGATGCTCTCATAGTTAACTTTGAGTACCCCAGTGCAATGTTCTTTTTTAACAGTTAAAGGAAAGACCTGTGATTTTCATCCTTCAGCTTAAAATAGTTGTATAGTGTTTAATACAGTGAAGATACTAACGCATGCTGAAAATATGACAGGTGCTATATCCATATAAAGTTATTAGACTAAATTAACAAATTTGGTTTATTTTTGTGAAATGTTATAGTATTTTTCAGATAGTGTGAAGGTAGCCATTTTTACTTCATCCTTTGAACCTTCAACTTCTTCCATGCTATTGGATTTTTGTAGTGACATAAAATAGCATAGTCCTGGGTTTGTGTCATTCGACAAAAAACTAAAGGATTTGAATCTGGTTCCCACCCTTATTTTATAACTGTAGGTACTGAATTAGTGAAAGTAACTACTTAATTTCACCTCAGTTTTAGAATCTCTTTCTGGTATTGAGGTTTTCCTTGGGTATCATGTCTGTATTTTTTTCTTTTAAAGGCCACAAAACTATCAAAATTTAGGAAGATCTATGGTAAGAATATGCTGTAGCTGATTTCGTTAAATAGGAAAACTCATCATACTCAGATGCTAACACGCAAATGGTAGTGTCATTTGCTCACCCACGTTACCTCTAAGCAGAGACGTAGTTGCAGACTGTGGCAGAAAGGTCACATATTCCTAAGAGTTCATTATTTTTTAAAAATATGCAGAAATATTCTGTAGGACTTCTATTGGCATACTGCAAAGCATTTTCATAAATAATTAAAGCAAGATCACACTTGTCAAAACACATGAAGAAATCTGTCTTGTAATGTCTTGGCCATTACTCAACAACAACAAAAAAATCATCTTCACTTATTTGCTAATTTGCAAGATGGTGTAATTCACCATTTAATGATAGCTGGCTGTTAAAAGAAAAAGAAGAAAAAAAGATTAGTTACATACAAAACCTGTCAGTCTGTGAGAAATAACAAGTTTCCAAAGCAGTAACTTGGCTGCCTGAGACTGGTAATATTTGGGTTTGTTGATGCTAGCTCTTCAGCAGGTTGGACTAGGATTTTATGGAATCCCTTCCACGGATTGAATCAATTTCCTTAGTGAGTGCCAAAAACTGGCAGGAACATGATGAGACTGCTGAATCAACCCGTGGTCCCTTTGGTGGACAGTCAAGTACTGCATTTGTTGCTCAAAGTTGTCTGAGCTTTCAAGTCAACAGAAGTAGTGACCTGGATGTCAGCAGGCAGTAGTATTTGATTGCAACACCAGACACCACCTCAGAAACCTCTGTGTTGCCAGTTTCTACTCTTTCTCTGAAGAATGTTACCCTTTTTCTTTTGAGCCCTTTTTGACTCTTTGGTTTATTTTTCTTTTCCTTCATCTTTACTCTACACTTGCTTTCGCACTGTCAGTTCTTGGTCTTGTATGATAAGAAAATTGCCACCTTGTACTTCTGATTTCTAACCATCCAGGCTTCCTGCATGTTCTCAAGTCTGCTTTTACCCTGTGTTCCTGGTGCCAGTTCTTCAGGCATCTCTTTCTCTCTAGCCTTCATACAAAAATGTAACCAGTTGCTTTGCAAGTTTCAGGAATCACTGAGCATTTAGCACTAGCGCTGGGCAAGCCTTGTCCCCTGTGGACCTTTGCCTTTCAGTTGTTTAACTAAAGTTTATTAGAGAGTCAGTCTTTCACTGAAGGCTTCTGCTCGGTATGGAGCTGCAGTTTCATGCTGATTCTCTGATGAGCCAGGGGAGTAATAATAAGGAAGACTTTGTTTTACAGCCTTTTGTGTAGTTAGGAAACTCAAATTTATTCCCCCTTTACCCTGAAGAAACATCTCCATGCATCTGAGCTCTACTTTCTTCAAGATTTGGAGTTTCACTGAAGCTGACCAGCGTGTTCAGATGGTCTGAACTGCTGTGGGGATGGGGAGAGGGAGCCTCACTTATGGCCAGGTTGGACAAACCTCATTCCATAAGAAGCTAGACTAAAATATCAGCCAATCCTTTTCTTTCTCTTTTCATCTGACCTTGTTACAGTTTTCTTCTTCTTCATTCCTATTTTCCCGGTTTCTTTCTTCACCTGATTTGCAGTCTGTTTTGTGATGTTAAACCTTAAATTCACTCATTTCTCCTCCTGCATTTGCACCTCCCTCTGTTGTGAGGTCTTTTTCTCAAGCCTTTTCGGACTCATTTACCTTTCACTTCGAACTCCTGGCAGTCTTGTTTCTCAAGGGAAGCACAAATGGAAAACTCTGCTCATATCATATTTATCTAATTAGGGCCCTGTTCTTTTGTTTTTCTGTGCTGGCTTTTCCTTGGTTTTCTTCTAGTTCTCTCTCTGTTTCCTTCTACTTTGCCTTTCTCCTTTGAGCTCTGGTGAAGCTGCTGCCACAGTGATCATTAGCAGTCTTCATCTAGTGCAAGGGACAGCTTTCTGTCCTCCAGGTTTTGGGTTGATGGCTGCCTTTGATTCATTGGGCTTTCTTTGTCCTGGCTTTCGCAACTCTTTAGATTCTCATCCTACATGCTGATTATTCAGTGCCTCTTACTTCATTGGCTTTTTATCCACTTCTGATGCTGTTCCCTGAGGTTCAGTTCTTTGGTTTTCTGTCTCAAAAAGCATCAGTTACTGACCTGTTTTATGGTAGAACAGTGGGGGATATCATGGCAATATTCTTAATCGAGACCCTGCCAGCCAGGAGCCCTTGGAGAGCTGTGGATGGTGACTGTGACCTTGTGAGGTTAAGTTTGGGAAACACTGTACTGTGAAATTTATCTTCCCTCTACTGTCACCAACCCAGGGATGACTTCCAGAGTATCCCTATCTCTGACTTCTCTCTTCCCGTCTTTCCCTGATGGGTCACCTTGCTCACCTCACTGTTACCTTGGACACAGAGTTCACAAAGACAGAACTTTCCATCCTCTTTTTGTGACATGACCAAGTGTAATCTCATGGCATGGAGTTCTTTCAGACATCATACCATGATGACATAATTTCTGATCTGCAGTATTCTGATTTACATGATCTGTTGTCATTTCTCCTCCAAAATCTGAAAATCTGGCTTTGACTGCCTTTATTGCCAAACTCTTGCTGTGGTCTTCTCACGTGGGATTAGATTGGTCCCTTCTTCTGTCCTCCCTTCCTCTTTTCCCACTCATTGTCATCCTTAGACCTTATCTTTTCAGATACCTGTGAACAACCTCCATTGCCAAATACTTCATTGATCCTGCTGTCTTATTAATTAACAGTCTTCAGTACTGTGCCATACTAGGAAAACTGTTCTGTGGCTTGTGTTGATATACTAATCATTTAAGGTTTTTGGAGGGTGGAGTATTTCACAATAGGCACTTGTGAACCACAATGGAAGTTTTAAACTGTTTTAAATAAACTTTAAAAAGAGTTTCTGGATGTGACAGTGTAAAAGTGTATGTGCTTCATAGCCTGTCAGTGGCTTTGTGTACATACGTATTAGTTTCAAAACCAAACTGATCTTCACAGTGTACTTGTATTCTGTAAAAAAAATTTCAGAGCCAGTCCATCTTTTTATGTGTAAAGCAGTACATTGACAACATTCAGCTTATTCACAACTTTTCCATTTTGTAAACTGTGAGGCATTTCAGAGGTGGGTTTTGGAATCTACTTGTGTGTTTCATGACCTCAGTTACAAACTTATGAGATTTCCCCTCCCCCCCCAGTCTCTGGGTGTTGCTAGATAGCACGCAAACAAATTCCATAGAAAATGAGCAATTTGGATTTTTCCAGCTGGTACAAGTGGTTATAGGACTGGCTGTCACCAAAAACTCAGCTCTTTGGTCCTGACTTGACTCGTTGTAGCCGGGTTTGCAGAAAGGGAGACAGAGTAGTGGGCTGGATTCCCCACACAATGCCATCATTGTGTGGGTGAGGAGAAGCTGGTGTTCTGGCAGCTTCAGCTGTGTCTGAAAGCCTTGTCTCTTGTTCTGGGCATTTAAAAGACAGCATTCCTCTGCTGACAATCCTGCCCAGATTACTGGCTTGAATTTGGTGGGCAGCAAAGATGCCTAGAGCAGTTTCATTGGAGAAGACAGCGCAGAATACGAGAGGGTAGGTTTACGGTCCAGCAGTTTTGTCTGAATGATGAAGATGCCTCTCTGCCTGTTATTGATGCTAACAGACAAAAATGTAGATAAATCTACTTCAATACTGGCTGATCCCAGGTTGGCTCTTATCATAAAAT